ACCCAGATGGATAAAGCGGTATAGGCAATGGATAGTGTATATTGCCAGTATGTCAGTGTAGGCATGCTCCTGTGGTATAGATAATGGATAGTGTATATTGCCAGTATGTCAGTGTAGGCATGCTCCTGTGGTATAGATAAAGGATAGTGTGTATTGCCAGTATGTCAGTGTAAGCAGGCTCCTGTGGTATAGATAAAGGATAGTGTATATTGCCAGTATGTCAGTGTAGGTCCTCCTGCATGCTCCTGAGCGCCACATTTCTGAATTTTTTCACCGCACCCTAGTGTCCAGCCTTGGCTGTAACCTCACTGTTACAATAAAGACCGAATCTGAAGATCTACACAAGTGGCTCTTGACTTCTGATTGGTGGGGGAAAAAACAATCAAGCGTTTCATTGCAGTTGCTGCTGCAAAAGGTGGCTCCACCAAGTATTAAGTTTAGGGGGGTAATTACTTTCTCACATAGGTGCTGGTGAATTATTTTCCTTCAATAAATGAAATGATCGTTTAAAAAACTGTGAGTTCTGTTTACTCAGGTTGTCCTTGGTATTATATTAAATCTGTTTGGAGATCAGACCCAGTTAAATGTTACAGATAAGCAAAAAGATAAGGAATTAGGGGCAAATACTTTGTAACGGTGCTGTTTATGACATTAACATTTTGATCACACTGGTTGTGTTTATATGACAGTTCCAACGTGGATTATAGGACAATATTACACACTCCAAGAAGAAGCAATATCGCCACCTTCAGGAAACTAAGAACCTGCCTGAGAGACGTTTCTGGGAAAAATGTATGCGAACAGACTGTCTTTCATAAAATGATAAAAAATAATGTGTGCATCTACTGTGTACTTCATGCCAGTAAATTAGAACATCCTGTTCTTCTCTGTTTGTTTGTGGCCATGAGCAAATATATGTTTCACACTATTTATATTTTTGCATATATCCCAATCCTGGATCTCTCCATCTTCAAACTAAATATTTACAATTGCAATCAGTTATTCAACTCCTCCGTAAGACTGTAACGATTCACAGATGCAAGCTTTTCTGAATACAGAGATTCTTTACAAAGTGCATCTGTATCATCTGAGTGACATATTCAGATTAATAATGAAACTATATAATGTAATTTTTCTGAGTTGCAGGGTATTTGTAATACAGCTATATCAAAATCAATTCAACTCCCATTCAAAGCTACAAAGCTTTGTTTAAACAATTATTTAGGAATGTGATACTGGAGCCTAGTTTAGTGTAAATGTGACACATATATAAATAAAGCACTTGCATGTGAACAGCTTTAGCTGTAAACATGCCAAAGCAAAACGAAGCTCTTACAAAATCAGAGAGAATAATTAATTGCAGCACACAAAAAGCCTTTGGCTACAAGAAACTTTGCAAGACACTTAAAATTCCTAGAGACGTAGCTGGCAACATCAGACGCAAGTTTAAGACTCATGGTACAACAGCAAACCTGCCTGAGTGTGTGAAAGAGCAACATTTCACCGAAGGGAATCAGACATTTAAACAGCAAAATTGAGAAAAATCCCCTTCTAACTGCCAGGGACCTGCAGGATGAGAAAAAGGTAGCGGGAAGAAATGTATTGGTGCAGACTATCAGAGAAACATTAAACAAGGGCTCCAGGACCAGGACCAAGACTCCATTAGATCAAGAGGCACATAAAAAGTCAACTTGAATATGCAAGGAGGAATGGGGATAACCCTACGAAATTCTGGGAGACAGTTTTAAGGAGTGATGACACTACACCATAACTGGTTGGACCCATGGATCAGCAGTATGTCTACTGTAAGAAAGGAACATCTTGTGACAAAAAAGCAACAGGAGACAACTTTTTATTTTTCTACATGGGACAATCCCATATAGAAAAGGCCATTTTGCAAGTTACTGCACAGTATAAGCAAAACTAATTCCCTTATTTGAAATAATGAATAAATAATAGCCTTATAAGGTAACAAAACCTAATATAAAAAATAGCTGAACATACTGTCAGGTGTTTTCCTTTATGGTGGTTAAAAAACTTTGGACTGGGTGAGGGGTTGGGTTTTATTTATTCATTATTATTATTATAATTATTATTATTATTGTTATTATTATTATCATTATTGTTATTATTGTTATTATTATTATTGTTGTTATTATTATTATTATTTTCTTTCACTCTTTTTTATTTCTTATTCTGTATTCATGGCATTGACAAGGGAATTACTCAGTGGTCACTCATACTTACCTTCCATGCGCCCTCTTAATCTTTTTTATGCTGTGTTTACAAAACTTCAATAAAAAGATTCTATTTTTTTTTTTTTAAACTTTGCTGTATTGGCATCTGATGAGCAAGTCCTACATTTGCAAATTTCTGAGAATATAAAGTTACATATTACCAATGTACCAGCTCTTCTATGGCATTCATGCCGCTGCGTGGCCAAACAGGGAATGTGGTTCATGTTGCATGTTGGGATGGGGACACGAATTTCTATTGTTGGTTTACTGGTGTGACGAAAAGGATTTGGCTGACAAAAGAGATCGTGGGGACGTTTTAATCATTTACGATCTAATATTGCCAAATTGTACACGCCTATCCATCCCCCTCATCCGCCTGGGCATCTTACTGGGCACTGACTCGCCAGCACTGCCATGGTGGGAAGTGATGCATCTGACACCAGCGTATGTGGAACGATGAAGGGGGGGAGGTGAGTGACGATCAGGCTGGCCAATTGGAACACAGAGTAGGAGGTGTGGCTGCCTGACATCCAGACCAGCCCCACAGCAAACCGGATGTGGCCACTCCTGTGCGATGGGTAACCGGCATCACTGCCGCCAGAACGCGACCCGAGGTGGGTTGCAGCAACAGTGGCGTAGGAGCACGATGGCAGCAAGTAACAGGAGGCCGCCGATCGCCAGTGGCTGCAGGGGGGGCAAGCAGGCAACCCGGCACTGGCCCGGACCAAGGGCTGGCTGCAGGCGAAGAGGTGCCTGGCATGGAGCGACACTATGGTCCTCTCCTCGCAGTGGCGGGGCTTTGAGAAGCAAAACAGGCTGCTGTCCCAGTGCTGGCAGCACCCAAATGGCAGCTTGCAGCTAATGGTGCCCCTGCGCCCAGCGTCCTCAGAATGGTACATGCCGCGATGGGGCTGGGCACTTTGATGAAGTTGTGTGGCCATTTCTACCGCCCCGACGGCTGCCAGGACGCCTGTGCCATCCTGAAGGACTCCAGCCCGCCACCCTGTGCCCCAATGCAGCCGTGCCGGGGGGGACAGCCATGCAAACGGGTGCAGCGACAATTGCGGCTTCTGCTGCGTCTGCAGGACTTTCAGTAGACTTGAGGGTTGCCCAACATATTTTCAGCCATTGTAGAACTTTCCAGTTATGTATGGATAATTTAACTAACTATGCTTGTTAAAATGTTTTTTTGTGTCAGTGTTTATTTGTTTGCTAGTTAGAAGGGCAATATACAACAAAATACAAGCCTACCTGAAATAACTTCCCTAACACATATAGAGCAAAACCACAAACACCAATATCAGTATTGCATTTACATTTCACATTTTCACATGATGTAATGTAAAGCAGTACTGAACCACACTAGGGCACTGGGAATGAAATAAATAGATCCCACCCCCAGGTCCACCTACACTTCGCAGTCAGTGTTAAAAATGTGAATGAGTCATCAGTCAGCGAAAATGTAGAAGACGGGACTGATGGGAGACGAGATTACCAGACAAGATTAGTGAACTGGAGATCAACCTAGCGCGCGGCTGACCTGCAGAACAGCCGCGCGGCGAAGGGGTATTCTCCTCATCAATACCCTTATCAGCCCTATAATCCCAACAAGCATCAGGCACAAAATCGTGGCGTAACTGGTCTGGCCCCGAGTACTGCCACAACACTCCTAATTACTGAGTAAGATCGTTATTTTCCTGAGCCAAATCCCTTGTTAAGGGAACCAGCTGAACCGTGTAGTCTTACCGGATGACGTCACCGCCGTTGCGGACTCCTGTGGGTTCTGTGTAGATTCCTCGTTATTATGTAAAGTAAATAAATACACGCATTAATCTGTCGTGCATTTAGCAGCTAGGCCTTTTGCTGTATTTAGTACACAGTGGTAAAGATTTATAATTGACGCTGGCGTGAATTATACAACATCGAAAGAGTAGCGCATATAATGAAATGAATATCATTTTATTTGCAAATTATATATGTATACCCTGAATTATACAGGCTGCACTTTTAGTTAATTCTGTTCTATAGCCCCAGAGTACTCTTATCCTAAAAGAGAGATTATGTGTAACAGAAAATGACTTACTGTGCTGTAAATTCAGGCAGCATTTAATCATTATTCATTCATTCATTTTATCATTGAGACAGATTGCCTGCAGCACTGAATGCAATGTGCGACGCTTTAAACATGGGGCATTTAGCACACGGTATGCATGAAGGGATGTAAGGCTCGGTGCTCGGGCAAGTGGGTACAGCGCAGTGCCGGCTGGGGTTTGAAAGCCGATTGCAATGAAACGGCGGGGGATATTTGCGCCGAAGCAGTCCGGCGTTTTCTTCTCAACAGCTCGAAGTTGCATTGCAGGGGTGGGACTTCTGCAGTCGGGGGGAGCGCTTCCAGAGGGATGCTTTTAGCGGCGGGCATAGCGGGACCTCACCTTGCATGCTGACGCTCGGACTGCTTCGATAATACTGGCAGCATCACACGGTGCTGCTGCAAAATAGCGGAGCGCATCGCCCATGCCGCATGTACGGCTCTGAGGAAGGGACCCAACAAAGGTGCTGCTAGAGGAACAGGGGGCACTTGTTCCTTTTGATGGCGAGAGGTAAATGAACTGAGGACGGAAGATCGGTGGACTTTTCATCCGCCCTTCCTGACCGCACCAAACCAAACAGCAGCTCGGTAAGTGCGCTTCCCTGCTCCTTTGCGTCCGCCGTCATCCGATGCTGTTTCGAGCGAGCTTTGGTGTATCTCCGCGGCGTTTTCGCATCTTTTCCTTGCTTGCAGTGCCGGGTAGAAGGGGCTAAGAAGGATGAAGGTACCGTAGAAGATGTGCTGTACCTCACCTTTTTGGAGTATAAAAAAAGTTCCCTGGATATTCAATTTTCTATAGTTCGTGGAATTTTAATGCATTTCATTTAGGCTTGGACATAAGAAATTGGAGTGCAACCAGTCTTATATATTATAATCCTTATGGGAAAGAATAATTGTCAGTATTTATACCAGTGTCACATAGACATGTACCACGTATGGAATTAAATGATTTAGCAAAGATCTGGAGCTGTGCTTTCCTTCGGAGCCTTGTTAATGAGTTTATTGCATAGTTGTTTGGTTGGACCCTGTTCAGTCCTTCAGCAACTCCAAGGCAGGTTGTAAAGATGGCCTCTCTGTTCCTCTCATGCAGTGCTACACCCAGCGACCATCCGCTACACCCACCAGGAGAACGTCGGTCTCGTTCGGTGGTGCACACGTGAGACCTGGTTGCATAGGGCTCTGTCACACACAGTGGCTGCTCTGCCTCCAGAGAGGAGATAAGTCTGATATGTTGGACCCTGTAGGAATCCCCAGCCGCCATTATTTTGAGTATTAAATACAATTGTGCAGTTTTTCAACACTGACCTCACCTGCCTGAAAATCCCCCTCAGGGTGCCGTACTGGCGTGCTAATGGTAGGTGGCAAGTGACTCAGGAAGAGACAGGAAATCCAGTTCAGGGTGACCATCCATTTGGATTCAGATCAAACTGTGTGCAGAGCTTGTGCTCCTGCATGCGAAGAGAGACCCTTCTGTTCTGTATTGACTGCACCATTTATCCAGAGCAGGCGGGAGACCACAGCTTCAGGGGGTTTTTGTCCTGCTGCCTGTCATTATTAAAAAAACAGAAAGGGTCTCCCTCCCTTGCCTCCCCCCTGCCTGGGGCTGTCCCCATGGCCCCACCCCCTTGCCATCTACATCCTCAGGATGGAGACGAGCAGCAAAGCACCGGCGAGCGACAGGGCGGCTGTGCCGCGGTAATATTATTTTTACGTCCTGCCACCGCCGACCGTTGTGCGCCACTGTGGCAGCGAGGTGGTTAATTTTATTATGAATCATTGCCAGAGATTAAAAGCAAAGTTGATTTACGGGTCCTCGCCAGCCAGGCTCCCCTGTGCACAGATGAGCTGACTGTGCACCAATGCCGTTGAAATCGCTGCCGTGTGACGTCCATTATTATCGATCACTAGTGTTTTAACGTGACTGACCAATAAAGAGGAGCTGAGTGTTTTAATCCCCCCCCCCCCCTCCAATGCAGAAGACTGCTCCGTTACTTGTAGCATGCCCAGTGGCGGTAACTTGCAGGTATCATGTCACCGACAACACGTCCCGTGTGTTCTTTCAGTTCATGGGGGCCTTGCGTGTGTCCTTGTGGTGCCCAACGTGTGCCTGAAATGCCAGGCCAATGACGAGCAGAACGTGGCATTGTGTTCTTGGTGCCCTCGTTTGGCTGCTTAGTGACCCCTGTTAGGCAGATTGCTCACATGACATGAGATTGCTGCCCCCCCTCCCCACTTTAGGCCAGCACCACCCCACTGTGGTAATGCCTCTCAGGGGAGACCCAGCACTGCTCCTCCGGTCAATCTGCAGGGGCCAGTGTTGGGTCACAGCCCCCATATTTAACTGAGAGATTGATTAATGGTTGGTTTTTAAAATGTCCTGATGGATCCTGAATGAAGAAAGGAAAACTAATATGTTTCTAGGTTCATTTTCTCTTATTATACGTACCTCCGGAGCAAAAATTCTTCTCTCGATGAAGCGGATACTATAGTGAATAAAAATCTCTCTGTTCTAGGAAGGATATGTATTTCTTAAAATATTTCATGATGGTATCACAGCACACCGCATCTGCAGATTTGAGACAGATGGTTGTGCTTTAGACCCCTAATTCTGCAGAAAACATTTGAATGTCAACGCGCAGGCTGAGGCGGCATGTCAGACAGCACGTGGGTGTGGCCAGACGCGGCTCTTAGAAAGCGCGAGAGGATAGGCGACTTCCTGCTTCCGGCGCCGCATTTCACTGGGGGCAGCGGGGGCGGCCGGGTCAGGCTGCTTTCCACACGGAGCACTGTGCCATGGTGGGCGGATGAGAGACTCCTGTCAACGCTGGGATGGTTCACAGGATGCCGAGGTCCGCCTCGTTGGCCTGCCGAGCTCTGCCTTGTTAGCCTGCCGAGGTCCACCTTGTTGGCCTGCCGAGGTCCGCCCTGTTGGCCTGCCGAGGTCCGCCCTGTTGGCCTGCCGAGGTCCGCCTCGTTGGCCTGCCGAGGTCCGCCTCGTTGGCCTGCCGAGGTCCGCCCTGTTGGCCTGCCCAGGTCCGCCCTGTTGGCCTGCCGAGGTCCGCCTCATTGGCCTGCCGAGGTCCGCCCTGTTGGCCTGCCCAGGTCCGCCTTGTTGGCCTGCCGAGGTCCGCCGTATCGGCCGCTCTCAGGGTGGGCTCCTCTGCACTGCGCCAGCTGCTCTAATTGGACTTCAGAACGTTTACAAACTTAGCTTCGAGAGTTCAATGGCACTCCGCACTCTCCTTTTTCAGTGTAATTAGTGTAATGGTCCAGCTCACCCACCCTCCTGCATCAAGAAGATTCAGGCAGTGTATGAACTCTCCCCACCCCCGGCCCCCACTGACTCAGACCGATGGGATTTGATGAGGGGGGTATAGAGAATGAGCAATTTATTCAGGGACAAATTAGTGTCTCCCTCCAACCCTGGCATTTCAAATACTAACAAATTAGCATGCTAAGAAATTATTATTATTATTATTTCTATAGCACCATTCATACATGCTACTCAAAGCATTTTACATACAGGATAAAAATCAAGAAAAAAAAACAAAGCAGCTAAATTTTGCACTTCTCTGCCCTGTTTTACACTAGCAACAAATTCTACTTCTGATGTGCGTTTCATTATGTGTACTGATATCCAGAAGACAGCTAATAGTGACAGCAAGACACCAAAACGATATTTTCTAATATCTATTTTTATGGTCTCCCACAGGAAGCACCATAATGTCCTCAGCGCAAGGCAGGGATATATCTGACTACCATTTCAGCGGTAAGTTCCATAGCTGCATTACAGCCTCCCCAGTGATGTGACACCCTTTACATGCCATGAACAATGCACATCCCTTTACATATCCTGTATAATGCTACCTCTTGAATTCCCTAGTGATGAGACATTTCAATAACATGTCACGCCTTCAAGACAGTATGCCACACGAATATCAGAACAAAAGATTTGGGCCACATCTCCAGAGGCTGCCCTTGCTGTCAGCGTTGGTTGTTTTTGTTCATTCCCAGCAGATGAATGGGAATGTGAATGTCTATGCAGCACAAATATTAGCACAAGTGAGTGGTGCCGGTTAATGGCACCACGTTGGGCCACACTTACTCCACTGGACCTGGTGTCATTTTGGTTCCTACCTGCAGTGGTTCGCAACCCGCCTGGCTGGGAGGTGGGGCTCTATGTGGCCGGTTTCCTGACGTTGCTGATGTTGGTGGCTTTCAACCTATGGAAGCTGTGGAAATCCGGAACCTTCCCCGCTCCATCCCCCTTCCCCAACTACGACCACCGCTACCTGCAGGAGAAGTATGGCACTTCTTACTCAGAAGTGAGACAAAAGGTAAAAGGGTGCTAAAATGCAGGGGGGACAGGACACCGGTTGCCATGACAATACTTGGTGCTTTATTTAAAAGTGATGGATAATGCTGCTCTCCATCTCGTTCTCTAGCAGAGAGTCGCAGCCTCCAACCACAGGAGGGCATCGACAAGCCGCAAGCCCAGCCTTCAGCTCGGGGACACCCCCGACGGGCTGCGTGAGCTAGGGCCTCTCGAGCTCATGAGCAGGGAGTTGGACCCAGCTGGAACCGGGCCGCTCAGCCGCTCCCTCTCTGCCGACTCCCTGAGTTCCGTCTCTTCCGTCGCTCACAATTTCGGCCACGACTTCACGGTGGGCCAGCTGGAGGTGACGCTGGAGTACGAGGCACGGACGGGGACGCTCTTCCTCTCCCTGCTGCAAGGGAAGGACCTTCTTGAGAAGGAGGAGGAAGACTTTCCCTCCTGCTTCATCCGCGTCACACTGCTGCCTGACGAGCTGAGCGTGGGCATCTCCAGGGTGAGACTGGCACCATTCCCGTCACAGGCTTTCTGTTGTACGCTTAACGCCTCATGCTAATGATACTGAACAATGCAGTGGAAGAATGCAATAAGACTGCAACTACAGCATCTGCGCTTATTACCAGCATCTCACAGAATGACAGCTTGCGGGCTTTGCTGTATTTCATTTGTTCGCCTTCATGGTGCGATTACTTTGAAGCCTGGTGCATTTACACCATCCTTGGGGAGATCTTTCCATCACACAGACCTTCCTTTCCTGCTATCCTGTTTTCTTTCAAGTCCGCAGATACTGACGTTCGGGAAAACATCAGCCGTTCCCACAGTTGCAATTAGGCTTTTCGGTTGGCGAGGCGTTGGTGTTGAGGGACAACGTCACGATCTGCGATTTCTGCATCTCTGCTTGTTGTTGGTGTCTGACGGCAGGTCCAGAGGAACGCGTTCACCGTGGTGTTTGACGAGCGATTCTCCGTCCCACTGGACCCAGCTTCTCTCGAAGACAAAAGCTTGTGCTTCGAGGCTTTTGGCGTGGACGCAGATGAGAGGAACATCAGCACCGGGGTAGCAGAGCTGAAGCTGTCAGACCTGGACCTCTCACTTAGGCCTTTCAATGCCTGGCTGTACCTTCAGGATGTAAACAAGGTAGTCACCGGTAAAGGGAAACTGACATGAATGTGAGAAGAGGCAGTTTGTGGTACCTTTTTTGTCTAACTGCCTTTTCCTTCTGTGTCAATAGGCTGTAGATGCAGTTGGGGAGATCCTACTTTCTCTGAGCTACCTGCCTACAGCAGAGCGCCTCACTGTCGTTATAGCAAAAGCCAAGAACTTGGTGTGGACCAATGGAAAAACCACAGCAGGTGAGATCCAGGTTTTTCATCTTTTGAAAGGAAACAAACAAAGGTAGGATTTAGTAAGCAAGATAAGCAGATCACCTTACATAACCAACTCTAGTATTTATATGAAGCATTTACTGTGTCCCCATAGCAGAGAAGAAACCTGTAAATGATAAGATTGTGCTTTTCATTTCCAATTCGGGAACAGATCCATTCGTCAAGGTGTACCTACTCCAGGACGGACGAAAGATAAGCAAGAAAAAGACTTCCATGAAGAGGGATGACACCAATCCCATCTTCAATGAGGCCATGATCTTCTCTGTGCCGGCCATTGTGCTGCAAGTAAGTGCAGCCAGAAAAGCTGTTAGCTCCTTCTGTGCCCGTCCAACTTCAGGTGCTGCCTGCTGATATTCTGTGAAGCTTGTCATCCAGGATGTCTCCCTGCTCCCAGGACCCCTGCCCCTAACCCCCATCTCTTGATGCCTTTACTCCGGCAGGACCTCTCCTTGAGAGTGACGGTCGCCGAGTACACCGATGACGGCCGGGGGGAGAATGTGGGTCATGTGATCATCGGCCCAGAGGCCAGCGGCATGGGCATCACACACTGGAATCAGATGCTGGCCACGCTGAGGAAACCAGTATCGATGTGGCATCCACTGCGGCAGACCTAGTCCCGCCACGTCATCAAAACCCTGAAGCATAGTCCCAGTCTCTCCGATCACACTCTGTTCCTGCATGGTGCCTAATGTCTCACTATTACACCACCACAGATGGGGAAAAGTTTAAAAAAAAAACAGTGAACAAGCTTATCCGAGGCTCTAGAGTAAAATAAAAAAATGATGGGTGCAAAAGCTTATTTTTTCAGGAAACGAATCTTTGTCTTTTAAAACCAGTTGTACAGTGCATATGATATTATAATAGAATACAAGCAGGTGTTGAGATGAGTTTTCTATCAGATCTATAAAGTATAAAAGTCTAAATCCTACAGCTTTTTGGTATGAAGCGTGTTTTTGTCTTAGACCCTGTCTAATATCTTGTGCTTTTTAAATCCAGGTTCTCTTAATCCAGGTTAATCAATCTTAACTTCAGGCTATCCATCTCTCCAGAGACATTCTCGAACTGAACACGTAAAACATGCAATGTGTGATACTTTGATTTTAACTTCTCTTCACTTATCGACCACTACTTAACTTGTTTGAAGATGATCACCATTGTACTACTTTTTTATAATTCTGATTCATGCATTGTTTGGTTTCCAGCATATGTTTTGTATGCTGGAATTTATGTCTGAAATAATCTCAAAGCTTGGTGAACTGCTGAACTTTGGACAGACTCTTACTGAACGTGGCATGAATGACAAACCTCCTTCAGAGTGAACTGATTCCACTCCTGCCATTGTTAATTTTTTAAATGCATTGACCATTTTTTGGTTTTAGATTTAAGCTTTACACTATAATTACACTTCTCAAATGGCCTTTGACTTTTTAGTGAAAAAGTCATCCATTTATGGATTTTCTAAGCACTACAGGATGGGCAGGCAATAATTTTTTTTGTACAATAGAATAGTAATAGAATAAGTTAATGCATTAACATATTTTGCTTCCATTGACATGTGTACTTAAAATTTCCTTAAATTCCTGCAAAGTAAGTTTTATGGTATATTTATGTATTATTGGGTTGTCTGTTGCAAGGTAGCTACATGCCAGTTCATTTGCTCATATTACATAATACCTATTCATATTTATTATGAATTATTAAATACGAGAATATGCTATAATTATGACTCAAATAAATGTTGTCTATTTTATTTATTTATTGTTTATTTATTTGACATGTAAAGGCTCCAACCACCAGTAGGCTACCGTAAATTTATGCTGTAGCAAGTTATTACATATGAGAAAATTCATCGTTTTAAACTTAAGCGTGACCTGAACATGTTTCATCGTGCCAAATCTTATCAAAGCAATATAATCATTTATTGTGTGCATTTCTACATTTTGTGATCGAAAAATTAAAATTTTACAGTGCATGATCTTTTTCAGAACTTGTAACAGATGTGCGACCAGAATAAAGTATTGTGTTAGAATATTGTTTTAAATAAAATTAAACTATAAATAAAACATGTCCGGTGTCTCATTTTGACGGTTTATATTAAAGTCTGGCATTATGGAGAGAATTTCAATGACAAGAAATCACAAGCCACATCTGTACCTGCATGGTCTGTTCCGATGTAATATTTGTGTAGCTGATTAAGACAAACTTAAAAATTAAAATAAATAAAAATAAATCAACTTAAACTTAACATACATATCTCACAGTGATGTGCCATGGACGAAGCTGTATTTTCACCTAGCTGGTTTGCCAATAGGCCGGTGAAGCCAATAGGATGCGCGGACGGACGCTCAGCGTTCAGATAATTTGTTGCTTGTGAACGCAGGCGAACAGTGGTTAGCCAATGGGAAGCGTGGAAGGACGAGTGGCGTTCAGTTTATTTACTGCACGGCCACGGAGCTTTGGACGGACGCCGGCTACACCAATAGGCTGCGAGGAAGCGGACAGGAGGGCGGGGAAAGGTGAATGACGGAGAACTGAGGAGAAGTGCCGTATAAACACAGCAGATTGCAGAGAGCCCAGGTAAAACCAGGGAAAAAACTGTAGTCGACATGGCCGAGAACAGGGAGAAAGCCACCGACCAGATGAAGCTTTGGAAGGAGAACCGCGGCTCTCAGGTATTTATGCGTGTTGTACTCCAGGCCGTTGGTGTTAGAATTAGCCGTACCGAGAGCTAGGCCTTACGGAGCTGTCAACGCCGCCCTTTCACCTACTTACCCAAGCCTTTGTGCCATTACATTAATTGCGTTGAAAGTGTCCTCGCGTCTATCAAAACGTTTAACTTGCTAAATTCTGCGTGTATGTTATGTATTTATAGTTGATCGTGCATGTGTGCCACTTTCGCGCCGACAATACAAGGGCAGCGCGAGCTGCAGCATTAATACGCAATTCTGAATGTGAACACAAAGCTGTAAATCAGTGGCATGGATATATCGTTGTTTTAACCCGTTTCATAGTTTCCCAGCATTGCATTTAGCGTTCATTAATTATCTGCGACATGCATAGTGCCTCGCGCTGACTGACTGCAACCAACGTCTGGTAACTTTGGCGTTGAAGGCCTGGTCCAGAAGGTACACAACAGTCTTCTTTTTGAAGAAGCATTTTTGAGAGGATGCATGCATGCATGCGTGCATTAATTCATTTATCTTTTTGTTGAATTTGCCTTGGTTCATTTTGAACTTTACCCCTCTGCGCAGTTGTATAATCTCTAATGGTGCCAAATGGGGTAAAGGTACAACAGGGCAAGTCAAAGGAACACGTTACAAATACAGCAAAGCTCGCATTTTTAACAGTTGCAAAAAATAAACGATTTTTCCTGACCTGTAGTTATTATGAACATTGCTATACATTGATAGAGTTTTTCACCTTCTTGTTTTGCTAAAATCACTTGAGAGTTCCTCTAACTGGTGTTTTTATGTCCAGTTGCCTGGAGCAAGATTAATTTTCTGTCTGTCTGGTTGTGGTGTTACTTTGTCATCATTATTCAGAAGGTTTGCCTCCTTGAAAGTTATAGGGAGTGATGGCATTTTGCCATGTAAATTAATGAATAATAAGATGTTGCAATATGCTTGTTATGGCCACTGGCTGTTTGTGTGAGTGATTATCTAAATGCTGAGCTTTAACTCAATGGCTTGGTAAGGTACAGTGAAACTAGCTGGAACTTTTGGTTGGCAGCTCAGGGTGTTTCTGAACGAAGAACCATCATCCTATCATGTCTCCACAGCGACCAGAGACCCTAACGACAGGGGCCGGCATTCCTGTGGGAGACAAGTTAAACGAACAGACTGCAGGGCCCCGGGGCCCCCTTCTGGTACAGGATGTGGTGTTCACTGATGAGATGGCGCACTTTGACCGCGAGCGCATCCCAGAGAGGGTGGTGCATGCAAAGGGTGCTGGTGGGTATGGCGTATGCTCCCCCCTCCTCCTTCAGTCTTGCTAGGAAGTTGAGGGATGGGAGAATGAAAACTCACTGATTGTTACTATTGCATACAGATTTACCTATAAGCGTGTAACTTAGATATCAAAGGGGAACTGAAATGTAAAGCCAAAAAAAGTACGTAATGACAGAAAACGGTAAAAAGGCCATTGATAGTGAATCATCATGTGTAACTGTTTAGTGAGCGATGCTTGTCTCCCGATCCTGATTAGCTGAGCCTGCTTGTGTTCCTCTGATGGGCAACTGACTGACAGGCTGATGCTCTCTGCACAGGGGCGTTCGGATACTTCGAGGTCACCCACGATATCACCCGCTACTGCAAGGCCAAGGTGTTTGAGTACGTGGGCAAAACGACCCCCCTCGCCGTTCGCTTCTCCACCGTGGGTAAGACCGCACCTGCTGCCGGCTCTCCTGGCACCGTGTCCACCTCTGTAAACAGACGCAATCATCCTTCTGTCTTTTCATGCTTTGTTCCAGCAGTTTGTCTGTCTTTGGTTCTTCATTTACTACCATCTATCTGTGGAATGAAAAGCCTGGTGACACAGATGTGCAGTGAACTTTCCCTGTCGTCCGAGCGCCAATCAAATGGTCGTCACCTCTTTAGCAGGAAAATAGAATGAATAGTATTTATGTAGCGCCTTTCACAATAAAGTTACGCCAAGGCACTTAAGAAGAGTGTGTGCCAATACATTATTAATATAAAAAAATGAAGTGGCTCATATAGGGGAGAAGAAAGGGAAGAATGCCAGAAGACAACAGTGAGAACAGGGCAAAATAGCCGCGTGGGGAGATCACGGCATGTCATGCCTCTGCAGTGTAGCTGGGTCTCGGGGCACGAAGGTATGACCTTTGTACTCCTGTGGTAGCCAGACGTTCATTCGCCTGCTCTGAAATTGGTCCAGCTGGCTGTAGCCCGACATGCTGTGACTAAGCAGCACGGCCTCTCTGTGTGGCGGAGCTGTTTGGGAGGAACAGCCGGCCGTACGTTGGCCCTGGTCCTGTCGGCTGCTATCTTTATACAGTGGGCGTGACTTGGGGATTGTGAACCTTGGGCTTGGGATGGGGGCCTGATTTGTGCATGCAGTCTCTGCTAGCTTATTTATAGGTCTTTGAAATGCATTGTGTCTCTGCTTTTTTCCCCCCTTCATTAAGTACTCCTGACCTACTTGTTTCAGCTGGGGAGTCCGGATCTGCAGACACGGTGCGAGACCCACGCGGCTTCGCTGTGAAGCTTTACACCGAGGAGGGTAACTGGGACCTCACCGGAAACAACACCCCGATTTTTTTCCTCCGGGATGCGCTGCTGGTGGGTCCCGTTCACTGGATTCTGAGCCTGTTGAGCCAGTTTCCCCCTTAAGGCTCAGTTTGAGTGCACGTCGCTCAAGAAGTAGTGTGGTATTTTCCATTCATACTGGTCTGTCTGTCCCTAGTTCCCGTCCTTCATCCATTCTCAGAAGCGCAACCCTCAGACCCACCTGAAGGACCCTGACATGGTGTGGGACTTCTGGAGTCTTCGGCCTGAGTCTCTCCACCAGGTAGCATTCGCTGATTTTGTTTGCTCATAAGCCCCTTTATGGGAGACTTTCTGACCTCCTTCCCTCTGGACAGGTGTCCTTCCTATTCAGCGACCGCGGCATTCCTGATGGCTACCGCCACATGAACGGTTATGGCTCCCACGCCTTCAAGCTGATCAATTCTGAGGGCCAGGCAGTCTACTGCAAGTTCCATTACAAGGTAGCAACTTACATGTCAACTGGCTATCAGGGCTGTGTTCTGCAGTGCTGCAGCATCAGTGATGCATATTGCATTTGTTAAATCCAACATAGCATTCGAAGCTTGGTATTCTCCATCTCCTTTAGACTGACCAGGGGATTAAGAACCTGCGAGCGGAAGATGCGGACCGTCTGGCATCCACTGACCCCGACTATGCCATCAGTGACCTATATAATGCCATCGCCAATGGCAACTGCCCTTCCTGGACTTTCTACATCCAAGTCATGACCTTTGAGCAAGCCGAGAAGTTTCGGTGGAATCCTTTCGACTTGACCAAGGTGAGGCTGCGGTTTAGGAGTACGGTTGACTTTCCCTGTCACGGTTTCAGTATGTCGGGGGGTTGGCAGGAGAAATGAAATGGCGCGTTTTTGGGAGTTTTGCAAAAGCCGCAGACGCCGCACAAAAAGTTTACTCACTCAGAAATGCTCAAAATATATGTACAGTTTGGTTTGAGGGCGGCCAGCAGCCTCTGACGTGATATCTCAGTGATCTGTATCTCGCGTTACCTGTATCTTTTTGCGCCAACGGAACCAAAAATTTTTACTTTGTTTTTTACTTTTACTTGGGCGTGCACTCCTAACCCCTGTGATGTGGAAGGGTCAACCAGTTTATCGGGGCTGTCTTTTGGTCCCGTCTCAAGTGTTTTTTGTTTTTTTTCATGTGAAAAGGTAAACACAGGTTACCATAGTTTTAAAAAAAATCTGTTCTTTCACATCACTTCAAGATTTGGCCCCACAAGGAATACCCGCTCATACCTGTAGGCAAGATCGTGCTGAACCGCAACCCTGTGAACTATTTTGCCGAAGTGGAACAGCTGGCTTTTGACCCCAGCAACATGCCCCCGGGCATCGAGCCCAGCCCTGACAAGATGCTGCAGGTGAGGCCCACGTCCGTAGGTGACAAGTTTGCCTTTTTTCTTGGACCTGAGCTGGATGTTTTTTCTTCGCCTAGGGTCGCCTGTTCTCTTACCCAGACACCCATCGCCACCGGCTGGGCGCAAACTACTTGCAGCTGCCAGTCAACTGCCCCTTCCGTGCCCGGGTGGCCAATTACCAGAGGGATGGGCCCATGTGCATGTTTGACAACCAAGGTTAGGTGCTCTGCAGCTGAAGTGAGGTGGGCAATGACATGAGCGATCAGAAACCAGGGTGGCTAAGTTCTCTCCTCTCTCGCCTCTAGGTGGTGCCCCTAACTATTACCCCAACAGCTTCAGTGCCCCAGATGCCCAGCCACGCTTCCTTGAGTCTAAGTTCAAGGTGTCCCCTGATGTAGGGCGCTACAACAGTGCCGATGAGGACA